ATAGAGAGGAAGGGAGAGGGATAGAAAGCTATAAACATCAATGAGAGAAAAACATCGACTAGCTGCTTCCTGCACAACCCCTAAACCCCTACTGGGGATTGAGCCTGCAAACAAGGTACATGCCCTTGATTGGAATCGAACCCGGGACCGTAAGTCCGCGGGCCAATGCTCTATCCACTGAGCCAAACTGGTTAGGGCTTAAATATTATTTATTGACTTGAAAAGTGTACACAGCTTGTAAAAATATCTCTCATTTACTCCTAGAAAATAATTAACTCATTAAGAGGCCATAACTAAATACTTTGATTAAGCAGACATTTATTTCATTAGAATGTAAGTTACAGAGGGTAAGAATTTTTGTCTGTCTGATTCACTTATATATCCTAAACTCTTAGAACTGTACTAGGCACATGGTAGACACTCAATTGAGTGAATAAATGAGTGCATTTTTCAAGGGCCTTTTATTCATGTTTATTAAAATGAAGCTGTGTTTGAAATTTCTAATTTTTCAAGTCCTGAAAGGAGGTAATAAATGAAAAATAAACATGAATCTTTTACAAATATTTGTTTTTAAATTTGTATCTGAGAATGTAGAAGTGCCAGGTATCTAATAATAGAAATGCAAATATTGACAAATTTTAATGAAAGCCATCTTTATTATATTTTTAAAGGTAAAAGTCAGAGGTTAGAGAAGAGTCAGACATTTTTTTCCTTATGGCAGTCTGCTCTAACTGTCCTCAGTTGTCCACTTATTATCCACTAATTTTGTCTCAGTTTCTTCATTTATGAATCAGGGGTAATAGTAGTCACTTATTCAATAAATGATTAGGTACTATTCTTTTTTAAAAATATCTTTTTATTGATTTTTAGAGAGAGAGGAAGGGAGAGGGGTAGAGAGATAGAAACATCAATGAGAGAGAAACATCATCGATCATCGATATCCTCCACACCCCCTCCTGGGGATCTAGGCTGCAACCCAGGAATGTGCCCTATCAGAATCGAACCAGTGACCTCTTGGTTCATAGGTCAACACTCAACCACTGGGCTACCCCAGCTGGGCTAGATATTATTCTTTGTGGTAGGAATACACCAGTGACAAAAAAGTTGAAAATGTCTTCCCTTGTGAAGTAGCAGGAGAGACAGCCAATAGAAAATAAACACAGTAAGTAATTATATTTATTAGAAGTTGATATGCTGTGGGGAAAAAAAGAAATGGAGCATGGTAAAGAAGATCGAGATATTGGGGAACAGGTTGTATTTTTGTTTTCCCCTCAATATTTTATTATGACAAATTTCAAACATTCAGAAAAGTTAAAAGAATGGTACAGCCGTAACCGGTTTGGCTCAGTGGATATAGCA